AAATAATCCTCACCACAAGACAAAAAAATCACTCTGTACAATGGTATGTGGTAAGACCACAGTACCACTAAGAATTAAGAGTAGCGTGCTTATGAATGGTGACTGGTATGTTATCTATAGATGTGATGCGAGAGAGAGCATGAGCTTGCTCTGAATTCTGCACTGTTACGACACACACACCACTTCAAAGAGCGTGGAGGTATACATTTTGGCCAACATGCTGTAAAAGTTTTACCAATTCCGTGCTCAGAAAGATAATCAGTTTGAGACATCATTTGCAAAGAAAAGAATTTTGTCCATTGCGTACTTGTTAGTCCGGTATGCAAAGGCAGCGAGTGTCATGTAGGTCATTTTTGAGTGGTCATCGACGAACTGTCATCAGTAGGCTGTCTTGGACGCTCAGGAGTAGAACCGCGGGCGGTCTGACCCAAGGGAGGTGGGCGATCCGAGAACTGTCGCACTGTATTCGGGGAAGCTGGATGCATTGTGAAAGGCATGCTAGAAACGACACGAACAGAAATGGGTGACGCCGTAGCACCTGAAGCATGTAACTAGGCGTCACTGGCAGAAGGTACAGGGGTATGAGAAGAGTCAAGAGAATGGTCTGATAATGAAGCCAGGTCAGAATAGGGTGTGGGATCAGAATGGGGCCTGGGAGGAGGTAGGGTTTCACAGGACAAAGACTTCATAATAATAGGTGCATCTTCTGTAATATCTTCTTTCTTGTTATTTTAAGAAAAAAGAAATAAGGAAAGAAAAAAAAAGAGAGAAAGCAGAGGGACAGTCGTTAGGAGGTATGGAGGGGTCTAAAGTTTCTCCCCTCATTCGAGAGGGCCTCGAGCCCACTGGCAGTGAAGATGCAGCGTGGAACCCATGCCATACCCTACCCTTCATGCCAGTAAACCAGCGCTCTGGGATAGCAGCCTCACATCCACCGAGCAACGTCGGTGGACAAAATACAGGATGGTCGGAAACCCACCACAAAGCATACCTCCTTCGGCTGCCACCCCCCAGAACTGACAGGCATCTTCCAGAGATATACCCATCATCTAAAGGGCACCCCGCCCATGACCCAGAAATCCGGGAAGGGAGCAGGGCATCCTCAGATAATTCAGATTCCACGGCAAACTACATCACCCCCGAGGGACCTCACAGAAGGGGACGAACCCCAGCACACCATCCCCCACCTAGAAACCATAATGCCAGAGGGAAGGACCCCAGAGGCTACAAACGGGGCAGGGAAAAAGGGGAGGGTTGGGAGAGGGGAGGGAAGGGAAAAAAGGGGGGGTATGGGGAGGAAGGGATAAAGAAGGGAGGATTGGGGGGTACTTAGATTTGGTCTAAGGAAGGAGACCAAAGGATTTGATTCCTGAGACCAAGAGCCTCTTTGCCACGTCAAGGAGCCCCCCTTGAAGAGGCATTTGCATCATAATTGCAAAGTAAAAGGACACAAGTGCAACTAATGTGACATTTTTATTGTGGCAACATTTCGCTGTCCAGGAGCTATATCAAGTCGTTACAATGTCACATTAGTTGCACTTGTGTCCTTTTACTTTACATATTGTTGTTAATTATACCAACATTATTGCATCATAATTGCAACTGTGACCAAATATACTACAAACTCATGCATAACTTCTTTATCGTATGTTGTAAATGTAATATAAATTTTCATTTTCATTTTTAAGAAAATAATGACTGCTAGCCTTGGATATACTGTGCATGCATTGATTTATACAGTGTTTGCAATTTACATGTTCTCTGATTTCTATGTTATTAAGACTAGTTTGCAGGAGAGTTGACTTTTAATTTATTTAACTTATTCTAAATTTAAGCTCTTATTTATATCTTGATTTATTCTCTTACTGATAGAGCTGTATGACCAATATGAGTTATATGGAACTCTTGTTCTCTTTATTAATTTAGAGATTTTAAACCTAAAGACATGGAATAACAGGCATATCTTGCTTCTTCTAATTACACTTAGGCCACATTACACATGCATGTACATACATATAACTACACACCCATCTAGGTTTTCTTCTATTTTCTTAACAGATCTTGTTCTTCTTTATTCCTTACCTCCATAGGAAAGTGGAGAAGAATGCTTCCTCCGTA